TTTCAAAATATTAATTAAGTTCTTTACTTATAATAACGTAATCATAAACTTAAATTAGAAAACGATGTGAAATATACAATAAAAATAGATAAAATATGTAAATACTGTGCATGTGTGGACGAAATATGCAAAAATATGCTGTAATATATACGGCTCAAAATGCATAATTTCTTATGAAACAAATTTGTATTTATTTCTTTATTAGTCAAATAAAAAAAAAGATGCCCTATACATATTTGGTTGCCCTAGTTATAACGCATGATGCTGGTACCGTAGTATTTGGCACGAAATTGATATCCAAGATTATTTTATTTTAGATTAAAAATTTTTCTTTTAAGAGTAAATATTCCTCGGTTACAATAATAATAAACAATAAATATGATTGTCTCTATATCGATCCTATTTTATGATATAGAAGAGTAATAAGCATTTAAAATCTTTTCTATAGGTGCATAAACTGTAAGAAGTGACTAAACGCTAAATAATTTTATAGGATAACTCCGTATATACGCCGCACCTATCAAAAACTTAATTTATTAAGTATTATTTACTATGTTTAAAGTAAACGAACTATATCAGTAAATACTTTGTATTGTCTACTACTATGAAAAAAATATTAGAAATCCAAAATATATATATTTATTTTTCGTATTAAAAAATGAACTTTTTGAAACCCTTGCATTTTTGCCCTATATCCCGTAGGGGTGGGATATATGGCTACTCGTAGGAGGAGGGGAGGGTATGTACGGCTCATGAAAAATTTATAAATAATTCTTATAAATAAGACGTAAAATTACACAATAACTTATAAAATGCGTTTATAAAGTTTTATTAAGGAATAAGAATGATAAATATGTATATGAAGTAATAAATAATAATTACAATCTTTCTGTATATGTATATTACAAATGTTATGACATGAGATATATATTTCATGTAATGCGTTTATTGCATTTAGTGCACTGAATTCAATCTGTGCACTTTATATGCTTTTTACAAGACAACCAACTAAACAAAGAATACGAAAGCAAAGCACTCATATCTTGCTATACAACACATGCTTTACTATTCTTCTACACGTATGTATCACGAAATAACCACTAAATCTTTTACATGCCCTACAGTAATCATTTTATGTAGATTATAATTTATGATGGCGTTACTTATTACAGTGATAAATCGATTCAACTCACAATAATTTCATTAATATTAATAGAAGAAGCTGAAATCATAACACAATACTAATATAACATGTAACAGTAGTTGCGGGAAAATTACCCCCCCACTCCTCCTATTTTTTCTGATCTTTTGCGGCGTAAATCCCAGCGCGGCGTATTTGTCGAAGTTACCCTATTTAAAAATTGGATGTATTCAATTTTTTTACACGAAACATTTAATTTTTACATTAAAAATATATGTAACAGCGATTTTTAAAATATATATTTATTTAGAGCAATAAATTGTATTTAATACTTTTTTTATGTCTAAATATTATATATTCATAATTTCATGTATTTATTATTAAAATTCATGATCTAAAGGGAAGTTGTGCGCTACTACTAAACTTTGAACACGATATTTTTTGTAATCGTCAGATTCTTCATTGACTTCGCCGCGTTGCTTGAGGTCGAATTAATTACTAAATCTAACGATGATAATTTTATATTTGCAATCTTTTAATGAATAATTTCTATACGATAGTCGAAACTTTATTATTTGATAAATTATTCTTGGTTATTCTTGTCAGTTCGACGTTCGCGCTTGAAGGTTGCTTTGAACACATTAAGCACAAGGAAGCGATCGTTTCTGACACGCCGCTGCAGTTTGCATGCTAAACAAAGTGATAGGTTAGTACATTGCTAATTTCCTACACATGGCTAATTTGTCCTGTGAATTCATTCGCATACGGGAATAAATATTGTGTTTTCGTTCGTTCGTTCGATATAGATGTGAACGACGCGTGACGCATTTTTCGTCGTGACGTTATTTTACTCGTTCTTTTTCCTCTCACAATGACGTTAAGTACTAAAGTTAACGTTTGCCTTTGAGCACTTCGCAACCACTTTTGCGCCTTCGAGGCGTGCCGTGAGGAAAAAGGGAGATTATACCTTGCATGACTAGTCGTTCGGCAAACGACACTCGTTTTACACATGCATTTCTCCTGTCCACACCTCTTGAAAATCTGAGATAAGAAACACAAGCAAATAATTGAAATTTTCTACTCGCTCCATTATAAATAGCACATTTATAGTACATCGTAGAAAAAGATCAGATTCTGATAAAAGCCGTTTGTGTAACAGCATTTTTTATCCGTAGAGAATCATTGCACTATCATATTAATGATTGATATCGCGTATGTATAATAAATGATCGATACCTTCGAATTTAATTGGCAGTCCTCTATCTTTTTCGATCGACATATTATTGCGAGATATCACTATAAGATAGGCGCTGACATTAAGATTCGATCATTATCTAGCTGTCATCTTAGGTATTTTGTTTACTCATCAGTCTTGCCATTTGAATAATATTTAGGGCGATGCTTGCGCAAATTACACATATACGATACGACACAGAAAAGGGGCGAAGTCATAAATCACTCTACAGTTACTTTTCATTCTACAGCAAAAGTTAAACGTGGGACGAGATGGCCAGAAAGGCATAAATTAAGATTTAAAAAAAAAATATCGGACAAAGTGTCTGGAGAATTAAAATTTATGACAATTGGGTGTATTATTGGGATGTCAAAATCTTATTGCTTCACGCGTAAAACATCACCCAAAGAAACCTGTCTTGTAATAAAATCTAGATGAACTTTAAACCAAAGGGCTCGAAATGTATAAAGTTTTCGTTAGTCATTAAAATTTTCTTCGGTCGTAAATTAAAATCCCGAAGAATTTATGTCGGACAAAAGCAAGGTCTGTCACGATAACGTTTTGCTGTGCTACACCTCACGTGCGCCTCACCTGGACGCGTAATCGCGCAAGTGAAGTCGTAAACATTAAAATTATAAGAATTATGGAACTTACGCGTGAGATGATTAATGGCTCACAGGTGGCTGCTTACCGCCTTGTTGAGATCTCTCGTTCAACCTGCGGCGGTAGAAACACGTAGATTGTTCGCTTGCGACAGCACCCGCATCCGCGCTTTATTTCTTTGACCTTAACGTCGAATCGTTATAAAAGACTAACGTACGAACGCTCATAAATTGCGAACGAGACTTCAGAATTAAATTAGCGATCGACAGACAGGGAAACGCACGGCGCGGCGTAGTGTTACGGAAGAAGGCAATAATGAGGAGAATTTTATTAATTATTATCAAGGCGGAATTAAAATTTTCTAGGAAACATATGTCGTTTTGCATTTTTTATGATATGCATACGCGATGAGGTTGAAATATTCTACGATTGCTCCGAGCGTGAAAGTTTAAAGTATCGGTGGTATATAAGTGAAACTGAATCTTTTATCATGAATAAATCAATGGCGTGTTTCGCGGCTGTTGTACGGGTTCTGGTAAAAGTCGCATTATTACGCACGCGACGTTATTCTAATTAGCTGCTATTAATGCTAAGGCAAACTTGGCGTCACAAACGTGAACGAAGGAGTAAGTCGGATCGTTTCCAGTTACGGAGCACCGCGCACCGCAGTCTGTCGAACATAAAACAAAACCGAAAGAAAATTATACACTCAAACGCCTTACAAAAACCGGAATAATCAAACATATAGGGTATCCTGAAAACCGTCATTTTATTTTTAATACGATAAATTCTTACGAAAGTAGACTTTTTTTTCTAAACGAGAGTCGAGAGATACTTCCGTATCGGAGAAATTGTGTAATTATGCGTGACGCGCGCTATTGTTGAGCTGCATCTTCAAATGCAAGTGAAGTTAATACCTGCTATCTCAGGGAGCACAGGGATTCTCACGGATAACAATTACTATACAGTTAACGTAGAATATCAGCTAGCTGGTGAGCGTTCGGAAAGACTTTTTATCTAATGCGATATTTTCTTCTGTTACTTTCGACATGGGATGCATTTACATGAGAACAATACTGCCCTTCGTTTCCCAACTGGTAATGAGGTTGTAGAACCCCGTTTTTTGCGTTACATAAAACTTGGATGGCTATCAAGCTTATTAAGTTATTTGCGGTGAACGGTATTACAGTGTGTAGTTGTACACGTTGCCCATGAACCTAGTTCATTCGACGCCTTTTACCGGAATACCTCGATTATTAAAATCGCGTCGCCCGTTAAGGCTTGCCACACGCGTACGTGCGTTGAACTTGTTCCTCACACCGTAGTTCGTGTACATGACCGTAGTTCTGCGTAACAGATACCTTTCAAGTATCAAGATCTCGCCGTCATAAATCATCCAGCCGAAGTCCGTGACCAAAATGAATCTAACGTTCGCGTGCATGTACACGTGTACATTTTTCCGAATTTCTACTAGACGGAAGTTGTTTGCGCCAGTGAATAGAATCGAGTTTATTTGCACCTCTCATTTTACGATGCAGAAAAGTCATCGGTAAACGCGGGTATAATTAATGGCGTAAATATATTTTCGCTTTTAGAGTTTTGTCAAAAGCTATTTTGTTGTAAATGCGTATGTCCTATTAGCTCATTAGTTCGTTCCGATTGTTTCGTCGGATGCGATTTCTGATTACGCTCGTGGTTCCCTTTATGCCGCGATGTGTTTTCTCGCCGAATCAAGAGACACTCATCGCGCAACCGTGAAAGTGGCTTCGGGTCTCGCAAGCCACGTTGATCGCCGATACAGAGATCGAAACAAGGATGAGCAGCAGCCACCTGAATGGCGGAAGGAACGGTGAAATAGAAAGCCAGCGACCGATAAAAAACGAGAGACACGCGTGATTTCCGCGACGTTGCGACTTCCCCTTCATACTCCCCCTCCGTTATCCCGAACATCGCCGACGAGGTAAGATGTTACTACATCGAGGATTGGATTATCGAGTAGCAGCTGCCGCGCAATGGACTTACGTCTCTAATGATATCCTGGCCGCTGTTGGAAACCTCTTCCACTTTGATACGAATAGCCGACATGCTACGAGGCGTCGTTCCCTCGTGAAGCCACCCTGATAGAATACTCTCTAAGTTGTTATCAAAAGATGATGCTTCCTGGATCTTCATCAGTATTATCCGGGAGCCGTTCCTCGTCAAATGTTCTCACGAGATCACCACTCCTTGACGTATCGGCTAGTGATCTCCCTTGTACTAATTCACGGATTCCACAAGAAACCCACCGTCGGTCACCCTCAAAGAACGAATCGATTTCTCGCGCGAGTGCTCCGTGCGTGACTATCTAAGAGGGAGAGAAAGAGAGAGAGAGATCGTTATGAAGCGCGTGTATCCTAAGAAATGTGATTTAGAAGACAGAGTCAAATCGGAGCTCGCTGTCCTCTCTTCTCTCGGAGCAGGACAATGTCTCGTCGTCTCGTCAACTTAATTTTCCTTCGGATGTGCGCGAGCGCAAATTGCTTTCGATCTTTTCGCGAAAATCTTGCACGGAATCACCACGGAGGGACGACCGGTAGTGTGCTGGTCACTGTCGCATATAATATGTGTGTGACGCGCGTTCCGCGTCTGTTAAGAAGAGTACCGCACGCCGAGTATCGTCGTGATCGTCTCTCTCGCACGCGTGCGACTAGAGCCGCCGCCGCATCTGGCCTTTGGACTGGCTGGCATCAGTCTACCAGATCGGTTTTATACCTTCGTATCTCCCACTCTCGTGGACGTGCGAGCGCGCTCGTGCTCGCTCGCTCGCTCGCTCGCTTGCTCGCATCGCGGCACGTCGATTCTGCACACGGGCAGTTCCACCACGGTCGAGAGGATCGATCTTTTTTTTCTTCCTTCCCAGACACACGTACGTGGTGGCGGTTGGACCCATGCATCGTGTCTTGTCCATGCGAGGGGGACACTTCTCTGTGGGTGCTCTAGGTACAAGGACAAACGGGAGGTCGAGAGAAGGCTCCACCACCGGCCCTAAGTCCGGTTGACGTATGCATGTCGGTCGGATCGTGATCAATCTCGCTTACCTGTCTCGCGGATGCAGGAAATTGGTAAGCGCAAACGTGAGTCCCATAAGTCGCGCATTATCATCTAATGACCGCGTAACGAAATCTAGAAAGTACGTAGGGGTTCGCTCTTATCTCATAGATTCCGCATGTAACCACGCCTCGACACGCGAATTTTATTGTATGTAGACAGGGAAAGGTGCGTATCCCTCGTTTTATCTTGACTTCCGAGAATGGTTTCAATATCGTAGGTAGATAGGTTGACATTTGTTATTCTTCGGCAATACATAACATTTGTTTTTTCTAGTATGTATACAAATTGCTTCAAATGAGGAATGGTGACACGAATTATGATAATATGCGCAATGATCTTTTGTTTCAATCGAGATTTTATTAATGATACTATAAAATAATAAAATGATACTATAAAGTAGTAAGAAAATTTTAATCGATTTTGATATAATCGCTTTTATAGAAATATGAAATTCTTGATGAAAAATTCCATTTGTAAAAAATGAAATGGCCTTATCGTTAAATTAAACATTAACTTTTGCTGTCATGAAATATCAGTCTTGTACTTTAACATGTAACGAAATGTCTGCTTTTTTATTTTTGTGACAAAGTATCTGTAGTCTTGTACTTCATAATTCACATCGTCCTTCGGGTGTGTTTGTCGGTCGTAAGAAAGACCAACGACCGGAAGCAAGTTTCACCTTATCGCATGTTCTTTGATTTACCAGATTTTTATGCCAATTCGGGTAATCTGAACCTCGTATTTCGTTGGTCTGTACATCGCTCGTCGTCGCAACACACGAACGCGCCCATAATTTTCCATTGTATCGCATGACAGCGATACTGATATGAGAAGAAACAGAATTCTGTATCTTTCCTGTCGTCAAGTCGTTCTTAACTCGGGAATAATCACCTGGAATGTTTTTATACCCTAGCGGCAAGAAAATGTAAATTTTTGTAAAATATTATTTTGTATAGATATTATTTTACATAATTTCTTTCTTTTTTTATAATTATTCTTTATGAACTTTTAAATATATAATTCCATCAAAGATGGAATAAAATAGCGTTATATTAATTAAAATTTTAATTTTTTTTAGAAAAATGTCATAATCTATTATATTTAACGTACTTATTCCGTTTATATTTGTTTGGTTTCTACTTTTTTTTTTTAAATTGATTAACCATATCCATTTTGTTTTCAAGTAGGGTAGAGCGGAGCTAGTTGTGACACTTTTTCTTTAAATTATTATAAATCTTCACACAATTATGATAGACTAATGGTAAATGCTTTAAAATGTTCATCTGGCTCAATAATTAAATACTTATAAATTCTTAATATATCTAGTAAATGAAAAAGCGCACGTATTTGGCTGTTGACAGCCGGACACAGATTATTGTATTAAGATACAGTAATATCTATCTGTGTGCTACATTGCGCAAGCATAGACTTATCTATATATATTTTGGTTATTTAGATATTTGGATTTGACCAACTTGCTCCTATGCTCAAATAGCCCCACTCTATTCTACTAATAAATATTAATGAATAAAATTAGAAAACAATCAAAAATATAGTTATTAAAAAATAATAATGATTTTAGTTGGAGTGTAAAAACAGGTGATTGCTTACATAAAGAAAAATCAGGTAACTATTCTCGTGTTAGTGCAAATTCGCATAAATAACGACAGAGTAATAAACCGCTTGTCGATTTAGTTCTCTCTGTTCATGAATGCGGCACGCTTGAAGAAACGCATCCGACGTGATGGCATCTCCGCACCATCGTATTACATCTATGCCGTCGAAACAATCGCGCGCTCCATTTTATGCAACGTTAAAGGCATGCCAAGGCGTGTGAATCGCACGTTTTCTTTTGTCCGATCAGACTGGATAAAATGAAAAACGCCGACCGTGACTACTGTTGACCGAGTATTACAGAAATTTTGTAATACCTACTCGACGGTCGCGTGGGAGGCGATTGTTCCCTCATATAGCCAGTTGCGGTAATCGTATCGTGATTAATTCTTCCATTATGATAAAATTAACTTTGCAACATTTGCATCGTGATAAAATGATGATTCATTTCGTGAAATACTAAATTTTTTCGAAAATATTAGCCAGTGATGTTCGAAAGCTTGATCAATTGAGCATAAGATTATACAGGTAGAAATTATATAATACGCCATGCGGGCTGGAATCATGTCTGATAACGGTTAACTCTACATTACTCGCATGCAACTTTTTTAACGTAATTAGTCACGTGAGGTGTTTTTGACACTTCAACATTATCTCAATTTTTATTGTTTTCTTTAATGATTTACAATTAAATAAAAATTGATATTATTCGACACGTTCTTTAGATAAAGATAAATGTAAAAAAAATTTTTTTATTGTGAAACAAATTGCATTAAATACAGTAATGTGTATAAATAGCACTATATATATTTAGCAAAAAAAATTCTATTTATGAGAGGGGAATTTTTCTTAGCATTTGCTCTAAGCAAAAAAATTTTATACGAGGCATATATATGCCTATGTTTATAATATGTATTCGTCTATAAAAAAAGTGGATGAATAATGATCAAAATATATGGTTCTTCTTGAACCATATATTAGAGGAAAATCCGCTAGAATCAAGAAAGAACGATTAAAGAAAGAATATTTTTTGGGGGTGAATTTACAACCGAGGTATCCCAGACATTCCACGCGAATAATGAAGAGTTCATGATTTCCGACTCATCGCTTAGTTAGGGTAACCGCAACGAAACGATGATCTTTTATGCAACGCGAGATTATCAGCGATAATCGTTTGAATCCAACTTATCAAAGGTAGCATCATCGGCATCCAGTTGATTCGCGTAAAAATACCATGATTCGATCGATTCTGGGAAGCTTCCTGACGTATTTCGACCTTGTTCAGACCGACTGACTCAGGCAATCTCCAGTTTGCGAGGACAAGGTGCGCTTTAATGCATATCTCGCAAATTAGGCCTAATCACTGCGTTCAGCTCTCTTTCCGTGCAAATTAAATATTCCACTCAGGAATCGCGCAGGCATATGCAGCGCTCTATTTCAGACAAGGACTAATGTACCACGGCTTCTTTCTTGGACTGTTTCCTTCCTACCCCGACTCCTTTCCCCACGTTCAATTCGTGGTCCGCGAGAGAAACCTACGAGGACGTGATTTCACGGAACGATCTCGATCTCGTCGGGAGTCAAGTGCACCGTCCCTTCTCAGCCGACCTCCGGTCGCTCGGTCGCCCCAAGGCGAAAAGTTACGTGGCTTTTATAGCTTGATCTCTCACGAGTTGGCATCACGGACATCTCGCAAAAGTCGCTCTTTAAACAGATCGGCGCGTGCCTGCATCCCATATCGGTAATTTGTTAGATCACGCCCGACCTTTATACGTCATCAATTAATTTTCGCTCTTTTTTTGCAATAAAGAGAAACTTCGCTACGGATATTCGCGCAAGATTAAGCGTGAAATGAATGTCGATAAGACATTAATTAAGTAAAGTCAGTAAAGTCTTGTATCTTTCGATTTATATACATGTAGGTAATGATTCCTTTAGATACTTCAAACCTACTTTGAATACTTTTAATGAAATTCTGACAATTGTTTTATACTCCAATTTTTTAAGATACTGTACGAAAAGTTTATAATTTCTAATTGTTTTTTAGTTCAATATTATAATGTTTTACAAGATATTTGTGTGAAGAAAAATTAGCTGTAATTGGCGTAAAGGTTCTATGTATATGGAAGAAAGTGCAGCAAAGCAGAGATATTTACATTGTACACTTGCGATTATGCTCGCCATGCAATTAGTCATCTCTACAGTTGCTTGCTACCCATTTTCTTAAGTATATAGCAGAGGACAAAGTCTTTGCTTATGAGTCGATTAAAGTTATTAGCCGTATTTCGCAAGCGGACATTAATCGCGTCGCTGACAAGTTCTGAGATGTTGGTTACTCGTCGAAAGGAAAAAAAAAACGGGTACATCCTCACGTGCAATTTGTACGGTTTCCATTAATGGCGATTGTGTCTCGATTGAAATTTAAATGTGATTACGAGTTACACGCGCATGGCGCACCTACGCGCGATTTAACGACTTGTGCTCGTATCTATCACGATTGATTGCATGCCAGAGAATTCCTCTTAACCCTTTATCACACGATTTTTTTCTCGGAAAAAAAGCATTTTATAAACTCCGACGCTTTTATCCCTCCCGAGTTGCAGTGTAATCAACGTATTCCGCAATTATGTATATCGTATTTATAGCTCTGACTGAAAATCATCATCCTTAACACATCGCATCGTGATAATTTAAACTATGCAGTTAATTTTGAAAATATGTTATTGGTAATTCTATCTCTAGAAACTCTAATCACAGTGCTTGACCGATATTTATTTTTTCTCTTTTTCTTATTAGTTATGAAATATTAAAAATATTTTAATCGAAAAGAATATTTTATTTCTTAGAATGAACACACAGTTTTGAACTATCTAAAATAATTAAGCTAACATAAATCTGAAAATATGATTTTGCCTTGATAAGATTATTAAAATAATTATGTAGGATGCTCAAGCTGGCTGCTAGAATGTCAAAGTTTTTGCAGCATTACTCATCGTA